TCAAGTGAACTCCTTCTGCAGTAATATAGAGTTAAAACCTAACTAGTCTGACCAGGCACCAGTTAAAAGAAGCAAAGGTCAGGAAAAGCTAAGGGTTTACTTGTTGGTACTTCCCTATGGAAGGCGCAGTGTGGATCCTTAATTGCAATTTTGGTAGTAGCTGGCAACTTGGCTCAGGACAGGATGGAGGGAAGGCTGCTATGTTTTTCCATGGCATAGCAGTGATTGCAGCTTAAAAAGTGGAACAGCAGGCTCCAAAAAACTATAAACAGCAGGCTGCCATGTCTTTATCTTCTTCCATGGCTTTCGTTGGCGTTGATGCAGAGAGCGTGCTCCTGGGCTTCACCTCGTTTCTGGGCATGAAGGGAGAGAGCAGGCTGCGCTGTTCTCGCTTTGGTTGCAGTTTTGGTGATAAGGGATGTATCCTTTGGCCAAAGCGATCAGTTAAATAGACTTCCCAAATACTCTCCAATTATCCTGGAGCTTTCCTATTTTAGAAAAAATTAGGCAGTGCTGTCTTGGAACAGCTTGGTTTATGAGGAGATCACAAAGTCTACAGGTTCTCCATTCATGAACATTTGAATCTGAAATAAGCATCTTCTTCATTGCAATGATAAGGAATAACTGGCAAACTGATATGGAATCACTTATGACTTACAACATTAAGGTGGAACCTTTAACCTCTATCTTTTAGAGAAAAGGTAGGTTTTCAAATGTTAATGTGACTAGTTAAGTCCAAAAATTCAAGGAATAACAAAAAACTAAAATTTAGAAAGATGGTAAAATTAAAAATTCTTAAATCAGTCACTGATCATATAAAAAGCTAGGGGCTCTCATTGGGTGATGGCGATCTTGGATAAGAGATGACCAAGGCAAAGGAAAAAAGGGATGCAAAGACAGAGACATGAGGGAAAAAGTCTGCAACTGAAACTGATATCCATGACTCAATTCCACGTTTTCTCAGCTCATAGACAAAGTCGATGAGTAAGATCTAAGAAAGGGGGACTCAGAGACAATAAACCTGTGAGAATTATAGCCAGTAAATGTTGAAAATGAGTAGAAGACATAAATAGAAAAAAAAATAATGCTGACTTTCAAGGACTATAGGTAGAATGCAGCTAGGCTTTCCTGTTTTCTGAATCGTAACACATAAAGTTGACTCTGGGGACAATATAGATGAATCACATAAAAAAACACACCCATGAAATCAGTGTTTTCTGTGTGCAAGAGCAGCCTGGGTGGGGCAGAATCATCCCCACTCGATTTGCTTCATTACTGAGGCTGACTTCACGGTGGAGATGAAGTCACCACTGATACAAAGGAAGCTTGAAGAAAGAAGTTCTCCCTGTTCATGCATTAGCAGAATATGCAGGGCATCTTCAAAGTGATTGCAGATACTGATTGTACACAAGCCTTAGAAGGATCACAGATCAGTGGCAAACGTGTCTTTGTATGCTTTTAGCTGCATATCTGAGGCACGGACACACTCAGAAAAAGTATAATGGTTTTGATGATTTCCTGGCTGTTAGGTCAGCTGAGAGAAATTGTCAAAAGAATCAAAGAAAAATCGCTCATAGATGGCTTATTGTTCCAAGTGAACAGAGGGTGACTGTGGGAGAGGGTTCCTGGCACCTCGTGTAAGCCTACGATCCAGGGCTTGTGGCATTATGAGTGTGCCTTTGTGTACGTCTGCAGCTATATTTGTTAGAATCAGCTTAGCTTTAATAGATCAAGAATTAAAGCATATTTTTTTTTAGTTTCTGAAAAATTCCCAAAAGGATGAGTGAATGTCAGGAGTCTGTTTGTTAGAACAACTGGGAGCATAAGTTAAACCATAGCATACACACTTTAAAAATTCGCTCCCCCTCTGTTTTTAGCGAGCAGTAAGCTATTGGCACGCTGCTGCTCAGTATCTATATGCATGCCTTGAATATATGAAAGGGGAGACATAGACACAGAACTGATCTTATTTTAGCAGGAGACGGGAAGGACTGGTACTAGTGCCCATGCAGTGCTGAGAGCAGGTCTCCATGGTGATGCTCCATGTTGCAAACAAATTGGGCTGCAGAAGGAGCATGCAGTGGCCCATCAGGAAGGCCTGTAACTCCAAGAGAGGCCAGTGTTTATAGGGGGACCTTGCAAATTGTAATATATTAGAAAAAATATATCTACAGAATAGAACATTGCTATAAAAATAGCTCAATAAAATAGGGACCATCAGTTAACTTTTGTGAGAATAGAAAATTCCAGTATGAGTAGCCTTCAAAATATGCCTATTTACGGTGTTTAATTTCAGGTAAGATCTATACTGACTAGGCCAATAGGAGCCCACCAATGTTCATAGCCTCATTTTAAAACCCATTCAATAACTTATGAGGTACTTTTTTTGTCATACATACAAACTTAATTGTAAATAAAATAGGACCAGAAAATAAAAGAGATAAAAACAAACAAAATCCATAGGATAGACATGAGCTGGTTTGACGAAGCATTTTATTCCAATGTTATGGTAAAAATTGAGTCTACAATCTGCAAAAAAACAACAAAAAAGACCCATATCCCATTTTTTCATGGAATGCTGCAAAAAGTGTTGAATTTATGATATTTTTAGTTGATATTCAAAACAGAAAAGTCCTTTGATTTTACATTTTGTTTAGTTCATCCATCCATCTATGCATCCATGGGGGTCACACAAAAATTACGTCATCACAGTCTCAAAATTATACTCTTTTTAAAGTAACACCGTTAATTAAAAAGAATGATTCTTTTGTTCCTCTTATTTATACAAACAATGAGATCTTGTTAAACATTTTTGTTTCAAACTTTCGCATACATATAATAAGTTAAATGTTTGCTCGAGGTTATCATTAAAAAAGCCTAACTAGGATAACCTTTACTGTTTAGTAATGCAGACAGCATGCATTTTTCAAAGGAGAGCAAAGTCTTTGATTTCATTTACTGCACTAATATCTCCAAAGCATTCCATTTAAAGTAACTAGGGCTAAAAAATTGGTCAGATTAACAGTAATTCATTCATTAATGAATTAATCATAAACTAATCTGGTAATCGATTAATGTTTGACTGGAGTATACAGACTGCAACATGCCATCAGCTAAAAAACAACCCACTAAGTTTAGTAATTAAACAAAAAAAAAAAACAACAAAAAACATATGTCTAAGAATTTTCCATTAAATTTGAAAATATTTTACTCTTTGAATATGCTAAATCCAGAGCTCCTAAAGTGGCAAAGTTTTAGCTTCACCTGTTTAAAATCTTCTTTATGGCATCTTTGCTATCCAATTAATAATGAATTAAATGAAAAAGTAACCAGTTGATTAATTGATTAGCAAAACATTCATTAGTTGCAGCCCTAAAATAACCGTAAATGAAGATATGTAACATAAAACCTATGTACAGGACTGTAAATGTGATGTGTTATTTTAAATGATTCACAAGTCACCACTGTCTTCTCCTTCTCTTAATTTATTATTCATCATTCTACACTTCATATAAAGTTATAGTCATACTGGAAAACTTCCACTGCTGTATCCATAACTATATTAGCTTATTGACATTCCAAAAAAAGAAAAAACTTTCCATGACAAACATGTTTCAGCATCCCGTCAGAGTGCCTTCAGACTCTGCATGCTGTCAGCACAGCACCAGCCTGGGAGGACACAGTGTGACCATACATATAAATCTCACCAGCGCCCCTCACAGTCCTGGCACTGCTGCAGCTGCTGACAGTATTAAAACTCTATGAGGTTTAAAGATAATTTTCCATTAAAGTGGGAAAACCAAGATGGCAGACTCTAGTATCCCTTAAGTTCTTAATTACAAAAACAGATGCAGCTGACCTGTGATTTTCTCAGTCAAATGGTTTAAATCTAATTTATTCTTAACCAGAAATATTTTTTTTTCTTTAAAGAAAGAGTGCTTTACTGACCGTCTCAGTTGGTATCTTAATTGATAAATGCCTTCTGACACTTAGTGCTTCAAATGATTTAGGCTGTGAAAACAGGAGGGATTCCTGTGCTTGTGTGCAAACAAATCTAGAACCACACCTTATTTAAATCAGGACAGAAAGAAACAATGCAGAGTCAAAACAGAGCCTCCATTCATACACAAGCTGTCCCAGGAGACGCCCAGAGAAGAAAACACCTAGAACATCCTCTTCAACCTCCTTCATTCTCCACTTCATCTAATTACATCTTGACCATTGTAGCTCTTCATTACTCTAATTCTGTTTTCTGTATTCTGTCATTGGCCTTTGCGTCTTTCCATCCCCGTACAGCTCTGTGTTTTATATATAAGCGAGGGGCGCTGTCTGGCCTGGTTGCCAGGATACCAGTCTAATTGAGGGGTCTCCAGAGAGTTGCTGTTATCAGAGCCTGAACCCTCTGTTCCTGTCACCGCCCTCATGCTTTCTCTTATTAGCTCCATTTTTCTTTTAGATTTCCTCCCACACATTCAGCTCCAGCCTCTTTTTCAGAGATCTTCAAGCATTTTCTCCCTCATATTGAACTGATGCTGATATTTCTTTTTATCGTTCTTATCTGCTTTAACTGTTCTTCCCTTAAAGAGTTGGACATGGGTTTAATTCCTTCTTTTGCTGCCTTTTCTTTTGCGGTTGGTGGATGAATTTCCTGTTACTGTCTTATCTTCCCCTTTCATCTGCCATCTCCACTATCCATTCGCTTAGACTGGTTATCTGCTACTCTTTTTTTTTCAAAGTCTACCTCTTTTTTGTCTCTCTTCCCAGTCTTTATCTAGCACACAACATGACAGGAAATCCTTATCCAACAACATAGCTGCTTCCTAACACACACAAGTCCATATCCACACTCTTGACAAGCAAATGCAAATGTGTTGAGTATGCACATTGAGATTAATGTAAGGTTTATGTTAGATTATCCCATCCCATCCACTGCTAAAACACTACGTTGATTTAAAATACCATTAAATATTCTCTAAAACTGCTGTGTTCTTGCTCTGCAGGTCAAAAACGAAAAATCCAATATGAATAAGCTCTACCAGGAGCCACTAACGGTAAGACATTACGATTTTAAAGCTTTTACAGAAGAAAGTATCAACTTATAGCCAAAGTCCCCCCTCTAGCTATAGAATTAGCTTTATATTTACTATTACTGGGTTATTCAACAGGAAGCATGAAAGGCTGAAAAGCCCATGCTAAAAAGAAAACAGTATTGTACAGAGAAACTGCAGCAAAACAGATACCTTTTAAACAGAGAGGGGGAAATAAAAAGTTAACAGGACACTGAATAGAACTTGTAAATAACTTGTAAAGCCCATCTCTATCTGTTGCAGGCCATGCTGAAAAGTCTCAAATGTTTATAGCCTTCTTGAAATCTCACTCTTATTAAAAGGGGCTATATTTTTCAGTGGGAATACATATATGGAGTGTAGTTAGTAATGCCATTAAAATAAACTGCTTTAATTGCACTGTTTGCACCAATTGTAAAATTAAGATGCTTATATAACTGTCATTAAGATTTTTTTTTGGCAGTATTAGGAAAATCTTTTATGGTGACTTCTCTCCAACAGTTTAATATTCCCCTGGTTTTAATATAAGGAACAGCCAAAAAAAGGCCTCCTAACAATCCAAATTAATATCATGACTGTATATCTTTTTGAATCACCAAATAGATGAAGGTAAATTGAAGCATTTGCTCAGTGATTTGCAACATTTATAAGTTTGCCAGAAGCCTTAAATCTTTTAATTCACCTTTTGTCAAACAGTTAAATTATTCACTGATTAAGAAAATATACAAAAGTGTCTCTCAGTGATGAAATGCATAATTTCAGGTTTTTGTGTTTCATTTAATTAAACACTGAAAACACATTCCTCACAAAAACTCTGCTTGCACCAAAAAAGCTCCATCTTCCTTCTCTATTATTTCCTCCCCAGGCATATTCAACTCAATTTTCTTGCTTTTCATCCACCTCTCCTCTCGTTCTGACTCTCCATCTCCACTGCAATGCAGATTTTTCTTCATTTTATAGAAAACCATGGCTAAGATGTAGAAGGAAGGTATACCCACCGAGATCTATACACCATCAAAGAATTTTAGACTATTTATGCTACTATTTTTACTGTTTCTTCTTACATGTGAACCGGAGTTTTTACCCACTAAGAAAGTTGGTGTGGCAGGCAGGCATCATCCCTTAACTGAGAAGGCTGTGCGGAGGAGAATGTGAATGGGAGGTAAGACATTATTCCCATGAGTCAAGTGCTCTCTTAGCAACCACCCAGACATCACATTCACAACACAATCATGCAGCCGCACAAGGCAAAAGAAATACTCCCACGCAGTCTCTGCAGAGACAAATATGTGTAAAAATCAGCCTGTTTATATGTTACATTCAAAGCTCACAGATGTGTTGAGGTACTAACATTTAACACTTACATCCAAGATTAATTACAGGAAGAAGCGACATAAACAGAACCCCAAGGAAACATGTAAATTGCAGCAACATTTCTCTGAAGACTACCTGATAAGAACAGTTTTCCTGGTGGACCATCCTTCACAGCATCCTAGAGCAGAGGCTTGCTGAGCTGGAAGGAGCAGGAGTGGGACTGGGATAAAATTCCCAGCCCTGCAGCGGTATTCCAACGGGAGGGGGAAAGATCCCACTGAGTCGTGGATTCAACTACCGGGGGATGAAAAAGTCAAGAACACGGGTTATGCCCCGTGACGAGTCAGGCAGGTCTTCACCAAACCACTGCTCTAAATCTCTGTTTGCTCTCTCCTCAGTTTAAAAAAAGGAGAAAACAGGGCAGGGTCTGATCACTGCTTCCTCACCGCTTAAAAGAAGGGAGGGGCGCAAGAGGCGGGAGGAGGAGGGGTGTGAGAATAGGAGAGAGGCTTATAGAGAGAGAGGGGACAGGGGGGGGAGGACATGCTTTTCTCTCTGCTTTGGATGGAAAAGAGGGAGGAGTTGTTTGGAGCCGAGTGGAAGCGGAGCCTGTAGGGAGAGGGGACCATGGAGAAGGGAATGGTGGGAGTGGGTTGGAGAGTAGTAGTGTCATACGGTCATTTTATGTAGAGTTATGCCACAGAGAGAGAGAAAGAGAGTGAAGAGGAGGGAGAGCAGAAAAATTACTTTCATTCTTCAGCCTTTATCATTTTTCCTAATTTCAGCTTGGATCATTATCAAAGTTAAACTCTAACTTATTTCTTAAGTTTTACTTTTTTATTTGTTTCTTTCAGTGCTGTGACAGACTGGCGACCTGTCCAGGGTGTACCCCGCCTTTCGCCCATAGACTGCCGGAGATATGCACCGGCCCTACTATGACCCTGATGGAATAAGCAGGAGAAAAAGGATGGATAACTGCTTATCAATTTATAGATGGATAACTTATTTCACTTATATATCAGTTTTCTTTGCAAAACCTGTGATCATTTCTTTTGGAATGCTTTGATTGTGGGTCTTCTCTTCATTGTTTTTGTTTTGTTGTAAGATTATAATCCCTTGGTGGCAGATGGCTGGTCTATAATCCACGGAAAAGCCAACCTACTGAGATAATACCTCTCTACTCCATTTATTCATTACTCCATACTGCAATCTTTTCATTACTCTACTAAATCCAAGTTTTTATTTCCCTCTTTGTGTATTGAACAAATATTTTAACCAACAGTATTGCTCTACACAGGTAACTTAAAAACTTAAACTCAGCTCTAACTAGAGATATACCAGAACCAGGTTTGCAAGTTATGAATTAATGACTTAATCTAAAATTGACTGATCTTATCAATCGACTAATGATTAATTCTTTAAAATCTAATTTTTCTGTTGTGTAAGAAGGAAGTTTCTATACCATAAGGGGGCCATTTTTTATGTTAATTAAGAAAAAATTAAATAGTTATATTTTAACTATGTATTGTCCCTGCTGCTTCAATTAAGTGGTATATTTCTCTATTTATATGTAATCCAGCATGTGATTTTCTATAAACACATCCTTGTCTTCCAAGCACAGTTTAAATCAATCTTGGAAGATATGGATGACATTTTATCATGATGTATAGACTGTCATAAATCCAATTTTAATTGTACCCTTTATGCTGTAGAAGCTGGACAACAGTCAGATGTAATGAACAATGCTACATCATAATGAGTGGCAGGCCTGCAATATATACAGTAGGGGGATGGTTTCTTTAAGGTGGAAAAACGATACGCTATTGGTCCTGGGATTGGGCCAAATATGTAAAAAAAGATCTGACTTTTATAGGTCAATCAGCATCTTGTGTGCCATTAAAACTTTTATTAAATAACATCCATCTTTTTAAATGCATCAGCTTTCACTTTTGTCATTTACTGAGGTGTATGTTCTCTCTGTTATTTCACCCATCTCCCTGTCTGGCAAAAACCTCTCTATCCAGTATTGATCTCTCATGGGTGATGCTGCTTTCCCAATAAGACCACTCTTGGGTTTAATGACCTGGAAGTGGATCGATGAGCTGCCTTCCTCTGATCTCTCTCAGCTCAAGCCTACACATGGTTGGCCCTGGCTTAGCCAGCAGCTTGGCTGCCAGCTGGGGCAGACTGGAACTGTGCCTATCTTCTGACACTGGAGGATATAATCATCTGTGTTGAAAGATACTGACTCGGCCTCATGAAAGCCCTCTTAATCTTTTCAATGTAACAAGTACGCTTATTTAAGCTTACAGAAAAAGTGGAAAAGTGAGTCAACGCATACTTTTTAGATAACTGCGTATAGTGCTGTTTTACTAGGATATAAAAAAGTGTTTA